CTTTCCTAGAAAGCCAAGGCAGTGCTTTTCTCGGATTTTGTTTGACTTTGTTTTGTTTTGTTTAAAATCGTTTTCCCCTAACTTGGGTGCTGAGAGTGGGCAGACGGGCAGACAGACACTCGGATTTTGCTTTGATTTCTGTGTCTAGCCTGGAATAACAGATCTCATTCCAGCACAGAATGTTTTGGAAATATAGTTAAAAGGACTGTGTGATTGTTTGGGAGGCGCATTTTAAGTGTTAACTAATAAAAGGTAAAAGGTAAATACGAGAACAGTTTAATACAGTATTTTTAAAACCGTTTCTATAACCTGTTAAAATGTAATTATTCCTCCAACACCCTTTGGAATTATTTAGAAAAATGTGGTACAATTTCTAACTGGTGCATTAAGCATCTGGCCTGACTTCACAGAATTCCAGATAGCTGAGTGAGCACTCTCTCTCTATTTTATTAACAACCCATAGGCTCATGCTAAGATGTAGTACTGATGGGCTCTGACATGCATCACTACCTGTTGACAGAGAAAAAAAAAAGAAAAAAGAAAAAAAATGGGCTAGACTTGAGAGGGTCTACGAGAAGAAAATCTTTTAAAGATGTTCCGGCAATTTTAACAGAAACCCTGTCTCTCTCTCCATGTTATATATATATATATATATATATATAAAACAAAAGAAAGAGGAAAAAAGGATAGCTTCAAACTTATAAATTTCTAAAGCATGCCCAAGTTTCAGCATATCAAATCCTCTGGAAATGAGCTAATCTCTAGCATCTGTTTCTCCCTTCTCAGACTAACAGTGCCCTGTTTGCCTTTGGGTCACGTGCTCTCATCTGCATTCAGCCACATCTTTGAGTGGGGTTGACCTTATCTGCACTCCTACAGTGGGCTTAATTAAGTTCATCTCCCCATCCTCATGTACGTGATTCAAGAATGAGCTTGAGAAAACGTGAATTGCAGAGCTCCATAGAGCAGCTTCCACAGGAGACATCTCCTTTGCACACTGTGCTACGGGAACATGGTATGTGGGACTACTCCTGGAAAGTCAGGAGCTGCCAAGGATCCCACACATGCATCCCAAGGAGGCTGTGAAGAATGAAAAAGGCTGAACAGAAAGCCAGAGAAACTGTATTCCTGTTGACCTATTTTAAATCTTTTTATCAAACTTCACCCAAGGCTACACTGCATAGTATCCAAACTTCTCAAATGAGTCATCCAGTAGATTCCAACTGCAGATCAAACAGTAAAGTTCAAATTTTCAATCATTTAAAAGTAAAATATTCTCAACTGATAATAGTCTGATGTATTTGATATGGCAAAATCCTTAATTTTTTTTCCCTCACAGAACTTTGAAGAATATTTTCATGATAGAGGATAAAAGGAAGAAAAAGATTGTCCACACAAAAGAATTTTAAAACAGTCTAAGATTAAGTTTCAAAATATACTTGAGCTGTTTGCAGATCATCTAGTCTTATAAACTTCTGTTACAGGAGCAGTCAATAAAAACGTGTATAATAAATGCATAAAAGAATGAATGAATGATGGGGCTCAAATCTAAACATGTAGAAAGACCTGAATTACATCGTCCCATGAACTGAGCTGGGAGTTAAGTACTGGTAAAGACTTTCATGGGCATTTCTTGTTTCTTGTCATTGTTTACATTTTGCCTGGATAAGCAAATAAATGATAGAGCCAGGGAAACCTGACTTCAGACTCTCTTTTCTCCATCAAACAAAGTGTCACATTGACTCATTTCACAAAAATAAATAAATAAATAAATAAATAAATAAAGGAAGGAAGGAACCAATGAACGAAGGAATGGAAGGAAGAAAGAAAGAAACCAGAAAAACACAAAATCCCGCAATATGCCAAATTTAGGCAATCTCAGTTTTTAAATTAGCCTAAGTTATTCGAGTGCATTTCTAAGTAGTTGATTTCAGTCTCAATTGCATTTCTCATACATAATGTCAGATTCACAGTATATCATACAAGGCATAAGAAATACAAAACAACAACAAATTTTCAGGCCAAAATGTCTACTGGAACTCGGGAGCTACCTGTGCAGTCCGGGGAAAATGGAATTGAGCAGCATCAAAACAGAGAAAACAAAAATTAACAAAGTCTCCTACTCTTCCCATTCCATCACTGTTGACACCTACAGCATATTAAAAAAAAAAAATTGTGAAAATTCTGTTACTCATTCTCTCCTACTTCCTGTTGTGCATTCTTCTCCCACTTCTTAATGTCCCCCTTTTTCTGTTGTTCATTTGCCCCTAACTTAATGTCAACTACTGCATTCTTTACTGGGCACTATGAGTCAGGCACTCAGGTAATAAACTCAAAAGATGAAGTAAGTTGCCTGCAGCCATGTGGCTCAGTAAAGATGTTCAGTGGGTATGTTAGACTGCAAAGCCCATGCTCTTCCACGTTAGATTTTACTAGTTCCTGCAGCCTGAGTTGTCCTTCCTGCTGTGAGACTCCAGCCTCTCCTTTCCTGTCTCAGCCTAAAGAGCTTTCAATGTTGATTAGTCTCCCTTCTTTTGCAAACAGGACAGAATCCCCCTTAATATAGCCAGTCTCCCTTTTAGAACAAAGGAGGCAAGCTATCTGAAATAACTTGAGGTAGCTCTTAAAGGTTGCAGAGGTGGTGCATATTATGTCAAAAGGGGCACCTATTTTTTAAGTTCTCCTCCAACGGGAGAGTTGGAGTCTCAGGCTGTTGACAAGAGCAAGAAGTGGAGGGGTAAATGAAGGCAGCAAAAGGAACACGTACTTTTGGACAGTGTGGGATAACTGAGAATTTGCCTCCAAGACTGGAATCTCTAGCACAGACAACGTTTTTTTCAGAATTTCTTATCCTTTTATATTTTAAATATAGCTTAAAAGACCAAAAGAAGCACTAACGCACACTTTTCATTCAATGACTCCTTGCCTTCATTTGCAACATAATGAAACCAGAGCCCAGAATGGATAATATGAAGTCACATAACAAATGGCAGCCCGGGCAATGAAAATCTCAGAATTCCTAACTCCCAAGCCAGTTTACTTGCTCTAAGATACCTATAGCCTAAATTGCCCATTTATCTTTCTTTTCTGTTGAAGGCCTGTCTGAATGGAGACAAAATTGATTAAATATGGACATAAACCCACAGGAATTTAGCTAGGCAAAAATTTCCTCTTTAAATGGAACCAACTCCCATCTGAAAATGGCTTGTAGAAAGAATTATTTCATAAAATAATTTAATCCATGTGTTTGCAGTAACAGGAAAGAATCTACCATTTAAGAGATTATCTACTATTCAGGCTTCCCTATTCTCCCAAAATATTCTGCAGCTTCTTCTTAGTTTAACCTGTATTATCTCCCAGTGCTAAGAAATTGGCTTTTCGACAGATACTAGAGTTTCAAACTCCTGTATTTAATGGTCTATTTTCTGAGGCCACCAAAGTTCAATCTTAGGGGGCCCTTACACGTCTTATCAAGGGTTCACTTTATCCTTTGAAATGCTCTGTTCCTGGAAGGAAGCTCAGGGAGTCAACTGGCTACCAAGCAAGCACATAAATAGATAAACCAGATGAAGTGAAATAAAAGGCCACAATCAAACCCTGCCGGGATAGACAATCAGCAGGTCTTTAGAAACCAACATTCAGAAAAGAGAAGCTGAGAGAGAATCACAAGTTTCTAAGAATAAAGCAAACAAGATTATTAAGGAAAATCACCCGCTAGGTAAATATAAAGCATAATCTTTTTCAGCAACATCAAAAAGTGGAATGCGCTTACTTAAGGCAAAGCTAATAGGAAATTGTTGACCAAACAGCAGAAACCAATCTACAGAAATCATAATCAAAAATAAAACTCTACAATCATGTTGAGTAACCATAGATACTTCTACTCTCCATTTCTTGTAATGAATAGTGTATATTCAATCATCTAAATCTTGAAAAGAATAATTTTAATCCAGGCAAAACCATTCTTGAAAGATATTTTTTTTCCTAAGATGTCTATATGTGAACGTATGCTCAAAGTAGCAAGGACTTGACAGAAAGGAAATATGTTAGTGGTTTTATTTAATACTCAATTTAAAACTTTTGATTGGGCGTTCCTTTCATATGATATACTTATAAATCCTAAAAAAGTGGACACATGGTACAAGTATGCACTCATTCTTTCAGAGTGAGAGACAGGGGGACAGATCTTCCATGCAATGGCCTACCACACAGTCACCACTGCCTGGCCCACAGACCCGTCCAGGATTCCCAGGCGGGCAGCAGAAGCCCAAGCACTTCAGTCAGCTCAAGTGTCTCTCAGGCAAAACAGGACAGAACTGGATTGGATCAGGAGCAGACAGGACTCGAACCAGTGCTCCTCCGTGAGATGCTACCTGGAGGTTAACCCCCTGCATCACACTGCCAGCTCCCAGCAAGCACACTTTCACTTTGTGAAATAGACAAAGAGCTATAACCATCCTTTACCTCCTAAAATCATATTTCGACATTCTTGTTTCTCTTGGCCTAAATGATTTGCTTACTTATTTGGAATTTCTGTCAAATAAAGATTCATGCTTATTGTTACTGTCCCCCATATTCCACGATTATAAGATGGTTATAACTACTCAATAATAATAATAAAAAAAGAAATAGCAATGACATCAATTCTTTTCAATACAGATGGCTTAACATAAAAAAGCATGCTTTTTTCTTATTGCAATCTAATAAACATTGTTCTAGTATGCTTATCTTTTTCCTGATTATGCCACCACTGCCTTGTAGTAGTAAACTTTCAAAAATGTTGAGATTTCAAAGAGTTGCCCACAAATCAAATGGCATGCTGGCTTCCCCAGGCTGAGTGCCTCATTCCGGCTTCTCTCACCCCCTCTAGCGTTTGCAAAGCTCATCTGTCTGATTATCCAGTTACCTCACTGAACGAGAGCCTGGCTAAGTCCTGCCCATCTATGACATCACCCCCTTCCTCAACCACTGCGAGGTGAAGCTTTAAACTTCAGACTTGGAGGTGGGCTGTGTGCAGTGAACTGGAATGCTCTCCCTCGCTCACTCCTCAGTGCAGGAGTGACGTGAAGCAGGACAAGCTCGGGCTGCAGCTGCCGCTGGCTTTGTGTGGACTGGACTCAGCGCTTGGGAGAAGGGGGAGGGTTGCTACTCCAATTCACTGTCAATGGAATTACAGCGATAACGGCAGTGTATGTAGGATTGCCTTTTCTCATCTTCCTGGTAAGTGTTTTTCATGTTTTGTTTTGTTTTGTTGTTTTTCTTATGATCGTCCCGGAAAGTTTGCGTGGTTTTAACTCTGGAAAGAAATGAGTTGGTGCCATGAGGAATCCAGATAGGATTGGTTCTGTCACTGATAGGAGCGGCATGTATTCACGTAAGCCAGCAAGGAATAAAGAAAAAAAAAAAATTGGACTGTAAAGCCGAACGCAGGAAGTTTCTTAAAATCTCCTTTCATTTTAAAATGTGGCACATTGCTCCTTTCTATTTCGAGTAATTGCTGATTGAAAAGAGCCTTAAGGGAAACAGCAAGTTGGAAAGTTAAATTTTAAAAATTAAAGAATACAAAGCAGATTTCTCAAAGAGGAAAACGAAAGGTCTCGCTAACTTGGTGTGTACTGTATGTGCGTTATGATCACCAATTGCTGTTTTTACAACTATGAAAGAAAATCAATAATCCTTCAGCCCCGGAGTGCGCAGTACATGAAAAGCATAGCTCTTGCTCACAGCGAGCTGAGCTACTCCCGGAGACTCCTGAGCCTCTGCGAAGGATTAACAGCTACACCTAGATTTTAAAGCTTGCACTGCCATCCCGCCTGAGCCTGAGCTGTTTCAAGCATTTTAGGCTTGCAAATCTCCACCAGCAAATTCAACTCAGAAGACGGAGAGACTATTCCAAACCATATTCCCTTCTCCAGTAGAATTCCAAACCCATTGCTTGGGCAAGTGTGGTATGTGACTCGCATAGTAAATGGCCAAGTCCACTCAGAAATTTAAAAAAAAAAACCTAACAAAGCTCACCCTACAAGCTATCCCTGATAGATGCAGTGAGGTTCGGGGGCCGGAGAGAAAAAAGTAAATAAATTAATTAATTAATAAGTGGCTCCCTCAGCTAGTGGGGTTTGCAGAGCAGCCATTCACTAGCAACTTAAAACCAGGAAAATCCTATTTGGGAAGACATGCACTTACTACTACAAAGCTTTCAAAAAGTAGTTAAATGAATATTCTCAATTTTTTTTTTCAGCAAATTGGGTCTGAAACAAGATGGTTGCATAGAGATAAAGATGCAACAGGCCCCTATTTTCTCAACATTTTGGGTGGGGGCTGGCTTGTGCTAATTTACTTCTCTAGAATTTTAAAGGAAAGAAAATAACCTTGATACTTTTCCATCATGGAACCAAATTCTCCAATGGTTTTAATTTTAAATTTTCTTAATAAATCTACTTGATTTAAAACACATATGTATGTTTCATTATTGGCTTGAAACACATAAAGACACGAGAAAAGTGCTTCAATCAACAGCTCTCATTTGTCCCTAACTGCATCAGAATATCCTGAAGAGCATAAACATAGAGAATGGGTTTTTCTGTTCCCAGGTAGAATCGTTTATGCCTGATCCAAAATGGGAAGGGACTGATACTCAAATAAATGATGAAATGAGCAATAAAAGGAATGAACACTAAAAGTACCACAGAAATATTAAGGTTACAAGTAATATGCCAGATATCAATCAGAAGAGGATTAATTAAGTACGCCACTTGTTTTCAAATAAAAGTGTAAGGACACCCGGAGACTCACATGTATACATACATACATGTATTTGTTAACCTGAAATGAAAAACAGGATTACAAAAACATGATTGCATATATTTAACTTAAAAATTTAGAGTTAAGTTTTTTTTTTCATAAGTGCAGTGCTGCCAGAATATATCAACTCCAAGCTTTAGTAGAGATACAGCAATTTATTCATTAATATGGCATTCCAGGATTACTACCTATCAGATATTAATTGGGCTTTTCATTTCTCTGCTCGCTTCCCTTCTAAAAACCAATTATGGCTAGGTTCAAAATGCCCTGCTAAACGCTTCCTAACCATAACGTTTTTTGAAGTACATAATTGGGCAAAAATAAAGTTTTTACCAAAAGAACATAAACAGTATGAAAATTCATCATAACTAAATGTGGCAGTAAAATAGAAGGTATGTTACATCTTCTGCTTTCAAGTGTTAATTAAGGAGCCTCCAATTCTATCAAAACTTTTTCAGAGCTAAATGAAGCAGCATGAAATAAATTTGGTTGAAATCTTGTGGCTGTCAGACTTTGTTAGCAAGCTATTAATTATCTTTACCCCAGTTTCTTCTCTAGACTATATTGCCCAATCAAATAGAAACTCCAATTATGCTCAGCATCTCCTGCCCAGGGACATAAGACCCTAATGAACATTCAGTCTCTCCAGATAAAAAAAATACAATTATCAGCTTTAAATGTGCAAGAGAGATTTCTTTTTTTTTTTTTTTAAACCATCGTGCGTGTGGCCACACATTCTAGGGTTTTCTCTTTTTTTTCTGAATTATTTTGAAACCTACACAAATCAGCAGCAGGGTATTAGACTTGTGTTACGATCATATACATTGTTCTTCTTTCTTGTTTTTTTATTTGGAGATGTTGATGTTCACACCAAAATTAATTCTGGCCATCTAAAAAAATAACTTGGTTTAAACCGTGTTGCTATTTCAGTCAATTCTCAACTTTTTCTCCATTTCCTTGAGGTGGGTGGGCTACATTCATAAAGAATGCGATTAAAGATTGGAGAACTAACTTAAAAACACTGAATTGACTTAAACATCCCTTTATGCATTCTTTTATCCAAACCAGTTTATTTAGAAAACATAATAATTATTGATAATGCTGTGTAGACCATCATAAATGAAATCAACAATGGAAATGGGTTTCAATAGGTTTTTCAAAGGCTCTAATTTTTACCCTCCTTCTTCCCTCCTTCCCGCTTCCCTTCACCCCCCACCTTTTGCCCCAGAGGCCTTCACTGTTCTTCTCAACGGGACGCTTTGTTGTAATTAAGCCAGAGAAAAACTGGCCAGCAGCAGCCAACATCTGACTTGCAGCTTCTGAAAGCAGTGTTCTGGTAGCGTGTACCACCCCCCAGTGGGCAAAAACTCTACAGTAAATCTCTCAGTAATATTCATTTCCAAAACTGCGTTTTCTCTTCTGAGCAAAAAGGGTGTGTTTTTCTGCTTCTCTAACACTCCAGAATTTTCAAAATGAACTAAAAATACCAACAAACCAATTTCCAACAAAGACTTGGTTTGTAAGAGCCTTCTGAAATGATCTTCTTCCTTTACCAATCAAAATAGGTATGTGCATTTAGCGACCAGTTTCCAGTTTCAAAACAAAATGCGGATGAACACCAACCACTAGCTTTGGCTAAATTTCACACTAAAGGATAATTTTGAAAGCCATGTTTATATTCTGTAAGGGAGAAGCTTTCAGATTTTTGATGCTTCTATCAACAAACTCTCTGAGGAAAACAGATTTTTGTAGCAGAGAGAAATCAAATGTAATTTAAGCAATCATTAAAGTTTCTTTCTTCCTCCCCCTCCTACATGCACATCATCTCTTTCCTGTCCCAAAATCAAATGTCAGAAATGGACAGACAGCTCCCAGGTGTGAGCATGTCTACATGGGAGGTGGGAGAATACGCTCTCAGTTGATGAGACAATGACAGCTTTTGTTCTTTATTCTTTCATTTTGTATGTGCATAAGTTACTCTGACAAGTTTGAAAAGAAAACCCACAGACCACTGTTGATTAGACATCATTTTTAAAACCTGCGATTAAACTGCAGATAGATCATTTTATGTATTGTTGATTTTGCTTTTCATCTGCTCTCAATCAATAATACTTGACACAGACATGGGAAAATAATGTGTTTTATGATTTAAATGATCTCACCACCAACTAGCATAAGGGCTTGCCACAGAGTAGGCTCAAGTATTTGTTGAGTTAGTGTGTGAAAATTCAAATATCAGAAATTGAAAGCACAGCAAACTGTAATTATACAGTGAAAAAGAAATTTCAAAATCTGTAATTTCAGAATGTGACAGTAAATAAGCATTCTGTTAATTACAATTGCTCCAAAGTCAGCACACACTTAAAGCATGGCTCTCTCACCAAACTCGCTGCCACCCACCTTCACCACCTTCCAAATTACTATCAGATCCGTTCTAACAAGTCGTGCTTCTCTAATTTAGTCTGGCTTTAATATTATAAAAGGAAGTTAAATTCATGATGATTCAAGACAACATTCTGGTTTGCCCTTTTTGTTTTAAGAACTTCACAAGCCAAAATAAGTGAAGTAGAATTAGATTCATTTATCACAAATCTACCAGGGTCTAAGAACCAGCAACATAAAAAAAAGTAAAAACAATCCTATACATGGGAACTTCTATCCCCTGTTTTCCATAAATGAAACCAAAGCTTCCTCAAGATGGAAAGTATACTGGATCAAACCACATATGAAAAGACATCCTGGCTTCCCTGCCTCTCAGCAGACCCTTGAGCCCTGACGACTCTCGAGGGCAGAGTTAGAGGTTCTTCTGCTTGCCTGGCATTAAACAAAAGAATTGGAACTTTCCTGAAATCTGATGATCGTGGAAAATTTAACTACCAGACAGGCTGCTTAGAAAGCATTTCGCTGTCACTATCAACTATCCTGATGTATTCCAGTTTTTCAGTTTAACCATGTATGTAATGCGTTTGAAATACCGTTTCTGTTACAAAGACTTAGCATTCATTAACATGTTGCTCATCTTGCTGAGTTTTGCAGTAGCAAATTAAGCCTTCATAAAGATTTTACTTTTTAATATTTTCGATTGATTCTATAAATCCCAATTTACCTATAAATAACCACAAGCCTGGGGTTTTTTTTTTCTTCAAGCACAAAATATTAGTCTAATAATGCAGGTAGCTTGGATTAAAAATTCTACATATACCACTCTGTTTTGGGACCTTTAGATTCTGGACATTTTAAGTTCTTGGCCCTAAATAGCTATTCAGTAAGGTAAAGCATCAAAAAAGAAACTCAAATATATTTGACATTATAAAAAATGAATAATGATCAAACAAGTCAAATCAATTTAAGTCGACGGCAGGTATGAAAATACGCAGGAAGGTGGCACTATACCACTACAGAGCTTCAGTTTAATCCAAGTGATATTCCTAAAAGATGAGAAATACTTTCTCAACTCAAGCCATTACCACGTCCAAAATACTGTAGCAGCAGAGGAGGAATCATATAAACATGTGGAGTGGCTCAAGTTGTTCATTTTATTTCACTACCAGCTTTCCACTCACATGCAGCTTTTCAAGTTATCGCAGCCTTCCCAAAATACTTGAGAATGATAGCATATTTGCCTGTTTTCTTATGTGAATTATGGAAACAAAGTGGAGACTTTTCAAAATTCATGATCATATCATAAATGCAAAAGTCTCCACTCTTCACAATTCGTTGTTATTTACAAAAAAAAAAACTGAATGGAAGAAATCCTATTAAAAATCACTTCCAGAAGTGAGGTGGTTATAGTTTTCTTGTTTTTGTGTTTCATACACACTTGGATAATTATTCTCTTAAAAAAAATTTCAAGAGATTCCATTAAGTAACCAAGTCTTCATTTATGTTCCCTTACCCCCAAGTTATTCCATTAACATTTTTTTTTCTTTTTCTAAAAGATGGTAGCTTTTTGTTCAGAAGGAATGGCCTCTTTCAAGCCTGTGCTGACAGGACAGCTCTGGAGTCGATGTTGTGGAAACCTGGCCACAGCCTCTGTGCCAGTGGGGGTCACTATTCTTTCCTTCACATTCGAGCACAATGTCTGCATGGGCATAATGATGGCGAGGCTGACACTGCACCTGCTCTGCTAGTTTTGATGCACAGATTCTTACAGCCTTTAATATGCTAAAAACCAAACCTAAAAACTGATGGACTTCAAGGTTTAAAATGTAAAGGGAAAGAAGAGGAAGACATAAAACACAATCAAATATGCATGGAACTGTTCTGAGCTTAGGTAAAGGGATTAGGAGGCATGTGAGAGGAGCTTTGAGCAGAATCTTAATTTCTGAAAGAGTATCCTTTTCTCCTTAGAAACTCCTTTTATGTTTTTGTCTTTTGTTTTAATGCAATTTGGGGGAAAGGAGAATTATATTTTCCAAGAAGCTAATGAGATTTGAAGCTTTCTGATAATCCTACATTATTACCACTTTTGTGTGAATGAAAAACCTAAGTTTGCATATCAAACAGCAGAGGAAGCAGTTTCACAAATGTAAAGCAGGTAAAATAAACAAGTTAACCTTATTTTCCACACCAATTTTGATTTCTTTCTTCTTTCTCTAGGTTAAAAAAAGTGAAAACCAATACTTGTTCTTAAAACCTGATTAGGTAAAATATGTGTAGCTCAGATCCAAGAAAAAAAAAAAAAAACAAAGACCGCTACTTTCCCTCTGGTTACCAATCTGATCCTCACCTTGCACATGCTGGGATCTGACCTAACTTAGGCAACGATCAATGATTGTGAAATCCCCACTCAATAGAATGATCATCTTAATGCTTATATGTGTCCTGCCTCATAGGTATTTCTGGATTATAAAAATTGTCTGACTACTGGTAACATTGTCAGAAGTTCGCACTTATCATTTTTATAAATGCTTTACTTAGTTTCTAATGAAACCTAACAAAAGTAGTTATTTTCTAAATGTATGTTAACCATCTTATTTTTTGTTGGATAATTTTCAATCTTAGAAAACACTTACAACAGATTCTGTTAAAAGTTAACTTTGTAATTATGATTTCAACAGCTTGGTGTTCCATTTTGACATACAGTTTTCAAGGGAACACAGTACTGAGATACAAATAACGAACAAAACCCTAAACACATTACAGTAAGACATCACACTAAACAATAAATCCTTTAAACTTTCTTCTGTGGGCACTTTGCAATACTCACCAGAGATTGTTTTATCCATCTATTGAATAGCTGATATTTTTGTGTTTTAAGTTCTGTAAATAATAACATGCATTTGTAATTTTTTTGAGTTTCTTTCTGTTAATACAATCTCTAGCAGCATAGGTATGAGGGGCTGCAAAGTAACAGAACCAAACTTTTCGGAGAAGCAGAAATTCAAATTGTACCTGTTTAACCCACATTTTCAGAGGAGTGTTTAAATTCTAGAACAGCTGCTACCCTTGTTGGATACTATGTAGTAACTGGGAGAGAAGCAAATTGCCTCTACCTGCAGACCTTAATTTCAGTGTTCGAAATTTCCGTGACACTCAGATGTTCTCTGCAAAAAGCACCTGAACAGGTGACCCTACCTAAACTACACTAACATGATTTACCTTCTTAAGCTCCTAAGGAACCTGAATATTAGATGATAGACAAAGAAGTCAGCATTAAAATCCCTGGTCTCTTCATTAAAATTAAAGCCTTCCTGCTGAACTAGAAGTCAGCATGACCATGCCTTTTACTTTGGAAAGAAATAAATGCCCCATGAAGTTCTTTATATGCCCTCTATGTGAGCATTATAATAATGTCCTCTCTAACCTCAATTGCATATTTTTCAAGTTTAGAGTGCTTAAAGAAAATTATAATAGTATTCTCTCGAAAAACTAATTCGATTCCCAACTTTTTTGCCAACGTGCAGCAAGGACACCGAACTGCCTAAAGATGACCAGGTAGTACTTGGATATAAAGCCATAAAAATGACAGGGATCGTGTCCACATTCTACATCCAGGAAAACAGACCTGGAGCAAGGATTAGGGCACTTAATAAATCAAAAGAACAGCTAATAAAGCAAAGTCTTTTTAACTACCTTAATTGTATACTACGTGACAGCGTAAAGGCAAGTTCTGAAATGTCTAGAAAAGTTTACATGGCATTTATACCAAACATCACTGTTTATTTGCTCACTTTTTTTTTGACACAACCTCTTTAAACCTTTTTTTTTTCATTTTATGCCTAAATTTAAGACTAAGCTTTTAGATATTTATCTGAATTTGAAAGAAATAGAAGGGCTTATTGACTTTTCTATGTTTATTTCAATATAACATTAAGAATCAACTCTTAGTTCATACATGTTTGAAGGCAATCTCAAGTCCCTGTTTTATATTTAAAGAAATAAAGAAGTCAGCCTATTCCTTTCTACTATGATGAAAGATCAGTTGCTTAAAGGAAAAAAAAAAAACCAGAAGTTAAATCTCTAGGAAATTTCTGCAATATGTTAAAGTTTATTATTATTAATAGTTCATTAAAATCTTTTACCTTCACAGGAGATGCTCAGTCCCAGTATATTTTAAGGAAGAGAAAAATAAAAGAAATTTAGTATGCTTCCTTTTTGCTCCATGAAGAATATTTGTTTCCTTTGCCTCTAAAAAGAGAATTCTTGCTCTTGTGTGACGTGACTGCATCCGAAACTGAGAAAGCTACAGAAGCAAAAGCTGGAAATAGCTATTTCACAGCAGGTAATCATACCTCAGGATGTAGCTACTGTACAAAGCTTATACTTGGATAATCCTGGATGGGAATAAAGGTAGGGAGTAACTGACTGAAAAAAAAAACAAAAACAAAAACGATTACTATACAGGCCTTAGCATCATGAATGACTTTCTTCATGAGGATCTGACGTTACTGTCTCTGACCACATCACCCAGAAGAGCCAGTAAGAATTTCAAAGAGGGCGATTTCCACTAAGGGAATTAAGCTACACAAAAGGAACACAGAAACTATCAGAAAGGAAAACAAAAAACAAAAACAAACAAAACATAGGAAGCCATGTGTCCTACATGGTAACAGGAAGCTGAATTGTTTCTGACCCCCCTCTTTAATGAGCTTGCCCACCATGCTGAACCACAGCTGCAATGTTCATTGACAACAGTGAATAAACAGTGAAGAGCGTTTCCAAGGACTAAAGGAGAGTTTACAACTCCCAGCCCCTCACCAGGAACATAATACATGTGCATTGGACTTTCACCCACGCAAAATTTACTCATCCTTCAATAAGGTAGGAAAAATATTAAAGTATTTTATTTTCATGCCTAAACGCTTAAAGGCTAATACCTAAAAGTACAGAAGAGATTATATTACACAGTACAATGGTATAAATCAATAATTCTCCAGCCGTGGGGAAAGTTGAATCATGTTCTAGGTTAGCAATTGAAGATGAATGCACTGTGAAAATATGATGTGAAGTAGAAAATAATGAAAATGTGAATTAAGTTATTAAACCATGTGGTATGAAACATACACAAAATGAAAACAGAAGAAAACTTAGCCAGAAATGGAATTTTCCATTTAGATTAGCTACAGGTATTAGCTATATAATTCTTTCCTTAAAGTAAGTGAAAGACTTCTTGTTATATTGCTAGAAGTCCCTTCTAAACAATGTATGGTATTCATAATAACAGTAAATAACCGGTGCTGTATCTTCTAGGAAATGATTGGTTTTACTGAAATATCAAAATCTAAGAGAATAGATGTACTGTACATTTCTTCTGCATAATCATTTACCTAAAATGAAAAGTAAACCTAAGAATCTGTTTTTAAGTAACATTATTTTAAAATGCAATAAATAATATTCCTATGTATCAATTATTAATATTATGAAACTACTGAATTTGTTTAGCTGGTTCAATGGCTTGTCAAAATAGCTATGTCAAGTACAAATAAAAACTTGCAGATCAGACAGTAAAACTTTAAACTTGACATTTCAAAATTAAATTAATATAGAACATGGATTTTTTTAAATTTATATTCTGGAAACATTCAAGACAAAGGGATTTTATGATTGTGTTTATCATTGTGTAGCTAGAAGTAAGCCCAAAAGTATGTCCCTACCAAAAGAAATTGGTATACTTAAAATGATTATGGATGTTTTCGCTTCCATATCTTTTAAATGACTTCAATATGCTGAATCTGCTTATTTCTTACTTCTTATCTTTTTTCTCCCCTTCCATCCAATTAGGGCTCTGAACTGACAGAAGCTACCTTGTGTTAAAGACCTCGACACTTTGACCATGATCAGCCCAGCCTGGAGCATCTTCCTCCTAGGGACTAAAATTGGACTGTTCCTTCAAGTGGCACCTCTATCAGCTACAACTAAATCCTGCCCATCTGTGTGTCGATGTGATGCGGGTTTCATTTACTGTAACGATCGCTTCCTGACATCCATTCCAACAGGAATACCAGAGGATGCTACAACTCTGTACCTTCAGAACAACCAAATAAATAACGCTGGGATTCCTTCAGATCTGAAAAACTTGTTGAAAGTAGAAAGAATCTACCTATACCATAACAGTTTAGATGAATTTCCTACCAACCTCCCAAAGTATGTCAAAGAGTTACACTTACAAGAAAATAACATTAGAACTATCACTTATGATTCGCTTTCAAAAATTCCCTATCTGGAGGAATTACACTTAGATGATAACTCTGTCTCTGCTGTTAGCATCGAAGAGGGAGCATTCCGCGACAGCAACTATCTCCGTCTGCTTTTCCTGTCTCGGAACCATCTTAGCACAATTCCCTGGGGCTTGCCCCGGACTATTGAAGAACTACGGCTGGATGATAATCGCATATCCACTATTTCGTCACCATCTCTTCAAGGTCTCACTAGCCTAAAGCGCCTGGTTTTAGATGGAAACCTGTTGAACAACCATGGTTTAGGTGACAAAGTTTTCTTCAACCTTGTAAACTTAACTGAACTATCACTGGTGCGAAACTCCTTGACTGCTGCACCAGTTAACCTTCCAGGCACAAACCTGAGGAAGCTTTACCTCCAAGATAACCACATCAACCGGGTGCCCCCGAATGCTTTTTCTTATCTAAGGCAGCTCTATAGACTTGACATGTCAAACAATAACCTAAGTAATTTGCCTCAGGGTATCTTTGATGATTTGGACAATATAACCCAGCTGATCCTTCGCAACAATCCCTGGTATTGTGGGTGCAAGATGAAATGGGTCCGTGACTGGTTACAGTCATTACCTGTGAAGGTCAATGTGCGTGGGCTCATGTGCCAAGCTCCAGAAAAAGTCCGTGGGATGGCTATCAAGGACCTCAATGCAGAACTGTTTGACTGTAAGGACAGTGGGATTGTGAGCACCATTCAGATAACCACTGCAATACCTAACACAGTGTATCCAGCTCAAGGACAGTGGCCAGCTCCAGTGACCAAACAAGCGGATGCTAAGAATCCCAAGCTTCCTAAGGATCAGCGAACTACAGGGAGTCCCTCAAGAAAAACAATTACAATTACTGTGAAGTCAGTCACCCCTGACACAATTCATATTTCTTGGAAACTTGCTCTACCTATGACTGCTTTAAGACTCAGCTGGCTTAAACTGGGTCATAGCCCAGCGTTTGGATCTATAACTGAAACAATTGTAACAGGTGAACGCAGTGAATATTTGGTCACAGCCTTGGAGCCTGATTCACCATATAGAGTATGCATGGTTCCCATGGAAACCAGTAACCTCTACCTATTTGATGAAAATCCTGTTTGCATTGAGACAGAAACAGCACCCCTTCGAATGTACAACCCTACAACCACCCTCAATCGAGAGCAAGAGAAAGAACCTTACAAAAACCCCAATTTACCTTTGGCTGCCATCATTGGAGGAGCTGTGGCCCTGGTGACCATTGCCCTGCTGGCTTTAGTGTGTTGGTATGTCCATAGGAATGGATTGCTGTTCTCAAGGAACTGTGCGTACAGCAAGGGGAGGAGAAGAAAGGATGACTATGCAGAGGCAGGCACGAAGAAGGACAACTCTATCCTGGAGATCAGGGAGACTTCTTTTCAGATGTTACCCATAAGCAATGAACCCATCTCAAAGGAGGAGTTTGTAATACACACCATTTTTCCTCCTAATGGAATGAATCTGTACAAAAACAATCACAGTGAAAGCAGTAGTAACCGAAGCTACAGAGACAGTGGTATCCCAGACTCCGATCACTCACACTCATGATGCTGGAGGATTCACAGCACACTGTGCTTCAGGGTTTTGAAACCTAAGTGATGTGCTGGTAGGGACCCTGTTCTACTGCGAAACACTGGAAAAATGGACTGGAAAAAAAAAAAGCAATGTACTGTACATTTGCCATATAATTTATATTTAAGAACTTTTTATTAAAAGTTTCAAATTTCAGGTTACTGCTGCGATTGATGTAGTAGAGATGCCTGAATACAATTCTATATTTTAGTATTTTTTAGTAATTTGTACTGTATTTTCCTTGCAAATATTGAAGTTATAAACCATTTACTTTGTGTTCTACTGAGTAAAATGACTTGTTGACTGTGAAAGTGAATTTCTTGCTGTGTTGAACAATCAGGACTGCGTTCACATGAGATCCTTGTAGTATAAGCACAGGCCATTTTTCACTTTGGTATTAATAAAATGTAAAAAAAAAACCAACTGGCTGGATGGCTGAGTAAGAAAAAGTAAATCTCAAAAAAATAGGTATGAAATAATGTTCCAGTTAAATTTGTATTATCCCAGTGATATTCAATAAATCAAAATGCGTGAAGTAATGGGCAATATCAAACTTGCTGCATATCTCCGTTTTTGCTACAGGCAAATTAAATATCCTTAGGGAAGTTATGAGTATCTGCAGAACTGAATACCTCAGCAGGCATAAAAGAAGCATGGAGTCTGTCATTAAAGCTGTGTCAACAAGGCTTTGAGATGACGGGACTTCACCAAAACAGCGCGAGTGTGCTTCTAAGTAAGGGGGGAGACGTGTACTTTGGAAAACATGAGAACTTAGGCTTGTATAGTGTAATGAATACAAACACCAGAATAGCATTTTGGTTTTGTCTATAACATCCTGGTTTCTGAAAACTGAATTCTGAAAACAAAATTGTGAGTGTTCATGACATTTTCATGACAAAGTCAAGGTCAAATCTAATGTGTAACAAAAAGGTAACAATGTAATCAAGTGAGTCCCCTCAACAATACAGAGAAAGTAGTATTTTAAAGAAATGAGAATTTGAAAGAAAAATAAACATTAGAAATCAAATTTAGATCTGGTTTATGTGAAATGTTTTAACACTGTACATAAATATTCAATTTACTTTTAGAATGATCAAGAATACTGCCCATTACTGTCACAATTTTCCAGATATTACATGATAAACTTGTAATGTAACATTTATTTCTAGCTTCCTACTGAATTTGTGAGCTATTACTTGGTTTAAAAAGAAAAAAAACATCACGTTTTGTTGCCATGAATTTTTTTTTTGTTGTTCAACAAAGAACCAAAGTGCATTGTACGCCCTTTGGCCAGTCTTGTATGTGCCTTGCTCCAACGCTACACGTATTCAGCTTTTAAAACTCGACAAATTTTTCATACTTCTCAAATATGAAAAATTATGGTCTTATTGCTGAATAAAACATAAAAAAGTACAGAATCATTGTGCTTGCTTTGTCGGGATTATGTTACTATCAGTAAAGTAGCAAAGTGCCCAGCACATAAGTCCTAAACACCCCATGTATTTTTCTAGGCATAAAATAAAAGCTAGTTACAAATAAAAAAGTAAGCAATACCTTGAATTTGTGCATCATTTTACTTCAAATAATTCAGTAATTTGTGCATGAAATAATGTCTTCTTATTGTATTTGTTCACTCTATAGATGGAAAGCCACAGGACTGGGTTCAGAGCCCTTCCCACTTATGTACACTGTTGCCATTACCCTGAATGCTACTTTTTATGGAAGTCATAGAAAACTGTTTCTCAAGGTTTTGAAATGTGAGATCTACCAAATTAAAGTATCATTAGACAATTAACAGGATTTGACTCCCCAAACTCATACAGCAGTTTAAACCCCAAAGTCTTAGGTTTTAGGTTAACAGGGTCAGAGATGATTCAGTCATGGTGTCTGGATGTGCAGCATTCGGAAAGTAATTGGATTTGATTAGTTGTCTAGGTAGAATCCCCCATGATCAAATTCTGATGGCTTATAAAGAGAGACCTTACACAGTGCAGGCAGAGAACGCACTTCCTGGCTTGCCATTTTATCAGTTCTCTGCAAACAGTTCACCTTAACAAAGTGTGATTATCAATAATGTGGAGAATGCTTTCTGAATGAAATTTAACTTTGCTTTTCAAGGTTGTGAGTAATTTAGCAAAGTACTGTCAAAAGTCAGAAAATTATCTGAATAATCCCATTAATCTATTAGTTGTTGCTTATAAAAGCCGAACCGTGGCCATATTCTGCCAGCAGTGGAGTGAATCATGAGACAGGGGACTGATATGGTGGCACAGTTTGAAATGTCAGAATCCAATATGGGCACCAGTTTGTGTTCTAGCTGCTCCACGTGTGACCCAGCTCCCTGGCTACCAGCCTGCGAAAGCGGCAGAAGATGCCCCAAAGAGTCTGAGTCCCTACTGCCCATAAAGAAGAACTTTAAAAAAATAAATAGAAGTATTCAAATATTAAGAGATTATAATGACTGTTTTCCAGATAGCATGCCTTTTGTAAAAATATACAAAATGCTTTGTGAATGTTATAATCATGCCTTATGATTTCTCCTGAAAGAAATCAGAAACATGCTTTACATCAGAAAATACACAGAACAGCATGAGTGTAAACATCTATTCTTCACATGGTTTGCTATGGAACCCAAATGCTTCACAAATATATGTGTGCATTTGTATAGGTGGGTATGTGTACATTTTTCAACAGAATAGGAAGACTTAAGACTTTATTTCAAATGGCACAAAACAAATTATATACTCATTTCCATAGCTCTTGAATTAAATGTTTATAGTTTTCATCAACAAAACTATACTCCAAATCGGTTACTAACTGAAAATCGTGGAGGAAAACTTCCGGCTGTATCTCTGCAGCTTACAGATTAAACAAAAGAACAATGGGGAAAACTAGAAAAGAAAAGAGGAAAAAACCCTCCCTTGCTGAATGTTTGACAAAAATAAACTGGTTTTAGATGCAACTGCTTGTAACAGCACTAGATCCTGCGCCTGTACACTTGCTCCCTGTTAAAAACAGCATTGTGCTCCTCTACATTTCTGCAGGACTGATTTACGAAGAGTGTTCTCCTGTGCCAAAGGAACAAGTAAAAACTCTGCTTTGCTAACTAGAGTGTCTGACGATTCCATATTTTTATAGCTACATGTCCATATGACAGCTTTCATGAGGAATCCAAAGAGACCTCTATGCTCTAAAGCACCTCAATTAGCATTTTAAGAATTTTTCTACAAAGAATCTGAGCTTTACCAAAAGCTTCCAAACTAGAAACAACAGAGTCTCACCTTCACAGAAAGTGTGCTGTACAGAAGCCGTGGGCATAAACACGTATATTACCTAATGAAAGTTTACTCATACTTCAGATAAGCAATTTCACTGATTTGGATGAATCAAGAAAGACCTTATGAAGAAGACAGAAATAGGGCTAGGGCTGAAGGGTGAAAACAACCTTAAAGAGAAAGGAAGAAGAACGGACACTGGCTATGAAGAGAAAATGGGAACAAAATCATGGAAATGAAAAAATAAGGCATGCTTCATGACAACAGTGTTGGCTAGATTCACTCCAGGAGATTTTTATTAAGATAACGAGATCTCAAAGGCCCACGTTAAAACGCCTCTGTGTTAAAACTGGTCATTTACATTACTTTTAAGGGCAAAGAAGAGCCCACTGATCTAGGAGGTGACTGAAGAAATGCCAACAGTCCAGCTGAAATCAACATCCATAAAGGAGTTAAAACTGGGAAGGTGCTTTTTTTTGCTTGTTATTCTTAATTTTTTTTTTCTACTGTCAAGGTTTATAGGCTTTTTTGGATTTCAGGCTAAAAAGTCTACACTGATACTATTCAGCAATGGTTGTTGACAAGTGGGTAAGTAACCTGAATTCTACAGATGTTAAGTAAAAATAAGCAACCTGTATTAAGGATGGATAAGAAGGAACTGGAAATAAGAAGAGGAAGTTAAGGGGTTATGCAGTATTTCAAGAAAGAGTAAATAATGTTCCAAATACTGGAATCACTAGTAAGACGGAAAAACAGAAAAAGAAGGAAAGAAGAAATCTAGAAAGGGAAGAAAAACCTTTTAAAAGTGTGGATGCTAAAGATGAAGAAGTTTTTCATCATAGTTAAGTGAAATCTTAGGCAATTCATGAAGATGAGGAACAATGTAGAAGCAGATTTCAGAATATTTTGCATATATTGCATAACCGACTATTATGCACTGTATACATTTATACCTGCTAATTAATAACTGGTTTCTTTAACCGTCCATTGTGTATTGGTTTTGAAAATAAATTAAGATCATCTTAGATTTAAAGTACTTTATTTTTGTCCCTCTGTAAATAGCTTTAGTAGGTTAGAAAACAGTTTCTGGAAACCTCAGGCAGTACACCCATATCTAAGAGACTTTTGTTAAATATAAGAGTGGGTGAGAGCAGCCAAGAGAAAGGGAGCAGCATGAGAAAACAGAGGAGCCAAAGAAAGGAACACCGAACCTCCATGGGGTCGAAAGAAACGGAAGAATCCAAAGTAAATTTTAAGGTAACAAACAACAGAGGGTTGCAGGGAAGAAAGATAAATTATGGGGAAAGAAATATTTTACATTCAAACCACTACAAATATTTTTAAAAGCACACTGTAATTAAGAAAACGACATAGTGGGAGACACTGCTGAATAAGGAGAAAGAAGAGGCCCTCAGGTACCATGAAAACCATGTGTGCAGAAGAAGGACACGTTGACAGGATAATGGAGATGAAGAAAAGAGAAGCAATGTCCGAAGAATAATATTCTTTCATAAGTTCAGAAATCTCCAGTGGGTCATGGGGAAGAACAACATAGATAAAAAGGAAATAAAAATCAGGAGGGAGATTTATTGATATCAGGAATAAGACTCAGGATTGAGACAGGAATTGACATTGAGAACAGAAAGATGATCTATTAGGAGAAAAGAGGGCTATGACTGCGACAATTAAAATGAAGGTGCTAATGAAAAAGCTGTGGCTTTGAGAAAGCTTCTAGCAAGGTAAACAGAATCAGAAAGAGATGAGAAGGTGTGTGTAGGTAAGCTTCAGAAGAGAGGTGCTAAGGAATAAGTGAAAAGTATCCCTGGATGAAGATAACG